TAAAATGATTTTTTGTACTTATAAGGTGATTGAATATATTTCTTATAAAAAATAAATAAATAACAATAATAAACAGAAGGAAAATTTTTCTTTAGATAAGAAATGAAAAACGTGAAAATTGACAGATGATTTAACGATTTAATTTGAATCATTAATACAATATTAATCAATAGTCTCGTGTATTGATGATCAATTTCTATCTATATAATATTACATTATATTTCATATTGTATACTTTAAACTTATTGTATATACGTTCATTATTTTCATATTTATAACCCCCTTGTGACTATTTATACTCCCACGCGTTCATTTTGCAAAAAATTTAATATTTTATAATTAAAAAGTCTGCTTAATAGTAAATCGTTAGTTACTTTAAGTATTACATTATTAATAACTTATACTTCGCTACATATCTCATTATGTCTTTTCACAATACTTACAACTTGTTCTTTTAATTTAGTTTTTTTTTTTAAGTTTTATTAATCAAAACGATTCTACATTCAGTATTTATTTATCGAGTAAAAAATCCTCCGTGTTTAAGGTTTGTATTTATATTTTCAAGCACATTTAGATATGGTAGCATACTTTTATCCTCTATCGGGCACATCGATTTCAAACATTTTCACCTTACTTCAAAAATTTATCAAATTATTTCTTTTTTAATTTATTCAATTATATAAATCACTTTTAAAATTTTTAATTATTCTGATTTTATTCCTTACAATTCATTAAATAATTAAACTTAGCTCCAACTAATTTAATTATTAAGCGATTCAAGAAGACGCTCCTTTGATCTTTTAAAATTAAAGAATCCCAATTTTTGCATTTATTAATTTTTAAATTTATTTTTTATAAATATTTTTAACAAATTGTTTTAAAAATTTAATTTTCTACAAAAATTGTCCTATAATTTTTCAATATTTTACTTAAAATTTCAATTTTAAACATTTAAAAATATCTTGGCCCGATTACAAAAATTTTTTTTATAAAATAATTTTTTCTACCTAAAAAAAGTAGTATTTTTTCCCAAAAAAAAAATTCCTCAAAGGAACATCCTCTCAATAATAAAAATTTAAAAAATTTAACCAACTACAAGACAAAAATAAACAAATTTAAATATTTAATTATTGTCATAATTTTTTGTTTAAATTTTGACAAATTTTTTCCTCCTCAATTCATTCCTCAATTTTCTTCTTTCTACTCTTTCTAAATCATCAACATCTTTCTCAAAACTCGTAAATATCATCAATCACAATTTTCACCTAAATATTCCAATATTCCAGACAATTAGTGTCCACATAAGTTCGTAAAATTATTTACAATAGATACAGAAAAAAAAATGATGACTTACTAAAATAATTATGATTTGATTATATAACACAAATTGAATTGATATTCTTATTCAATCGCCCAGCAAATTTATTAAAAAAAGATTAATTTTTAAAATATAAAAATTATTCAATTAATTACTAACATTTTATTATAATTATTCCAAGCTAATTTATCGTTATTATAATTAAGTTTGTTATTTGAGAATTGAAAACTTCTGTTGGACATTTTAATTTTAAATATTTAATAATTATTATTTACAATTACATCTATTACTCATTTGTTGATAATTCGTTAATAGATTTATCTTCGATTTTATTATTATTATTAATTTTTCTAACAATATACCAATTAAGTATACACTTAACAATAATTCTGTGTATTGCGAGCTTTTGCAATAAAAAAAAACTTTACGCTTTAATTTTATTATTATATTTTAGTCACTTTTGTGATAACCGATTGATAATATTAATATATTATGATTAAATGCCTTTTTAGTGCACTAGTCACTTGTAAATTAATAAATCACTCACTTTACTTTATTAAGTCTATTTTATCAGTTTTAATTATTTATTTATTCGTGTGTAATTTAATTTATAGATGGAATTGTAGAGTACACCATATTTGCGTTTATATCGATGTGACGTACACTCGAGTTCCATTGATTTCACTGCAAACAATCATGTAATCATTAGAATTATAAAAAATAATTACTTTTTTGGTCATGGGGTTTCATTTACAGATTAATAGAACGGAAAGGGCAATTTTCGAACAAGTACCGACAAAAAAATTGGCTTTACGGGCAAGGGGGGAGGTGTGAGGACTCCGAATACGGTTTGGAACTTACCTCTCGAATTAGTGAGATTGATGTTTTAATTTTTATTTGATAAAAAAAAAATATAACTACGTGGGAAATGCAAACGGATTGTTACTTTGTGCGATGGTAATTTAAAAATTTATTATTTATAATTTTATTAATTATTTATGTAAATATTTAGGGACTTTAACATACAAAATCCATGCATTTTTTTTTGCAAGGTACCTGCAAGCAATAAAAGCTACACAGAAATAAAAATTGAATTTTTTTAAAGAAAAATTTTCTTCGCTTAATTTATTAATAAAAAATTTTAGAATTTTTGTGCTTTTAAATTTATTCTTGACTTTTTTTTTTTGGCTTTATAATTCTACTAACACTTTAAATTTTTTATTTTGTTTTTGCCTACAATAAAAATGACCATTATTTGTTTAAATTTTGTAGAAAATGTTGTTAATTAAAAAATTATTAACATCAAAATTTATCAATAGTTTTCTTTTCATTACAAATATCTCTTCACTAGGTCTTATTACTCGCCGATACCTTAATTGAAAAATTTTATGTAACAAAAATAACTCATGAGCCTTCAATTCTATTAATAAATAAAAAAAATATAATTGTAACAATTCTTATTGATTAAAAAAAAAAAACAATTGTTTAGAATTGCCGAGCAAAAAAATTTTGAGTTATTTTTGCATTAACTTTAGACTAAAATACCGATTTTTCTATGAAACTGAGTGAGTAATAAATATAAATAAAAAAATCCCTGAAGAAGTAAAAAATTGTAGCAATAGAAAAAAATTCTTGTAAATTAAAAGTTGAACAGTCCTAATCTATAGCTCAACAAAAACACTAATTACCAAATCAATGTCTGGGTACCGTGCACATAACCAACTGTTTCAATAAACATATTTTTTCATAAATTGTAACAGGTGTCATCTAACTTATTTATAATTTATAGTAATATAGTAACCAATCTAATTATTTTAGGTGGTGCTTTCAGCTCAATAGTTAAACTAATTACTTTGCAAACAAATCATTAATCTTTAAAAAAAAAATTCACTCAGTCTCAAAATTTTCAAATTTTTAAAATTAAATAAATTATTAAAAACAAATAAATATTGAGAGTTGTTTTTTACACAATTGTCAGGTGGTTAGGTTAAGCGTTTAAAATTAAATACAAATTATTAAATGCGTAGGATATAATTTTACACTAGTTTTGTTCGTTTAATTTATATTCGTTTCTTAAGTAATTTTCAAAAAATTTTTTTGAAATTGTCAATTTTTGCCTTTTATTTTACGAATAAATAATAATAATGATAAAAATTTATAAATTAAAAAAAATTGAATTATTATCTATATTATTAAAAGAATAAAAAAAAAACTTTAATGTCCAGGATAGTCATATGATCAAATCGGTTTTTTTAGTAAAATTTAGTGTCATTGCA